GCCGCGAACTACTGGCAGTTTATTCTACCGTTCGACATTTCAGGCAAGTCTTAGAAGGTAATTCGTTCGTTATCTTCACCGATCATAAGCCGCTTATTTACGCCTTTCGAAAGCAATCAGCTCGACACTCACCACGTGAGGTTCGTCAGCTGGATTTCGTGGCTCAATTTTCTACTGATCTCCGACACATTTCAGGTCAGAATAACGTCGTTGCTGACGCCATTTCGCGCGTCTCCGCAATCCACACCGATGGCCAGGCAATCGACTTATCTGCCATGGCTACCGCGCAACTAAACTACACTGACTGTCAGAACGTCAAACAAGATTCTTCGCTACGAACCACACCGCATCTACTGCCGACATCTGATGGCACAATCTTGTGCGATACTTCTACTGGACGACCTCGACCAGTCGTTCCAGAAACCTTTGGACGTCTAGTTTTCGACACACTTCATAACATCGCTCATCCAGGCATCCGAGCCACGATCAAGCTCATATCCGAGAGTTACGTTTGGCTCGGAATGCAACGCGATCTTAAGCGCTGGGCAAGCGGTTGTCTAACGTGTCAGCAGGCCAAGATACAGCGGCACGTGTCCGCTCCGCTTGGTCGTTTTCCGCAAGTCTCAGCCCGCTTCGCCCATGTCCATCTCGACATAGTTGGACCCTTGGCACCCTCCAGAGGAATGGTCTACATTCTGACCATGATCGACCGATACACCCGTTGGCCCGAGGCAGTACCTATACCCGACGTATCCGCGGACACGGTAACGCGCGCTTTCGTTGAACGCTGGGTCGCTTCACATGGCTGTCCAGCCACCGTGACTACCGACCGCGGTCCGCAGTTCGAATCCTCGACCTTCAACGATCTTCTCAAAGTCCTCGGATGTCAACGCATCCGGACTACCGCCTATCACCCGCAATCCAACGGCATGGTGGAACGTTTCCACCGACAGCTGAAGGCCCCACTTAGTGCCGCTAATGCACTAAGCTGGACCGAAGCACTGCCTATGATACTACTTGGTATCCGATCAGCTCTTAAAGCTGATTTGCACACGTCCAGCGCCGAACTGGTATATGGACCACCTCTTCGACTACCTGGGGATTTCTTTTCTGGAAACCCCAGAACACCCCGCTACGACGCGAATCACGCTCGGCAGTTAGCCACGAGCATGCGCCATATCAAAGTAACCGACGTGCGAGAACAACGACGTAAATCGTTCTTTCCACAAGATCTACTGCATTGCGCTTACGTTTTCCTTCGAGTCGATGGTCTACGCAGACCACTCGAACGACCCTACGAAGGTCCATTAAAGTTCTTTAACGTAAGGACCGGGTATTAAATAAATAAATAAATAAATAAATATTTTATTCTCGACTATGCGAGGCACGTTATCGACCGCCACGGTAAACATGAAACTGTCTCTATCGACCGTCTCAAGGTTGCCCATGTGGAACCTGAGATCGACAATGACTTCCGTCCACCTTCGGACGAGTCACCGCAGCCTAGGATCGAGGACACGCCTACTTCCGATGCTACGAAGCATTCTCCGACTAACCCTTTCGATTCCGTTTCTTCCGATTCTATCGAGCCAAAAGCTTCCTCATCCGACAGAACTGCTGGATCGACAACGCCTCCGACCGAACGTCCGAAATCGACTAGGTCAGGTAGGCGGGTTCATTGGCCAGCGCGATTAAAAGATTAGTCTTCTTTTCATTCTTCCTTTCCCGCTTCCTTTTTGCTTGTGGCCTAACCCGCCCAACAAACGGCAGTTTTGAAAACCCAAAAACCGCAAAAAGTTTTGAAAACCTAAAAAAGGAGAAAATCGTTTTGAAAACACAAAATGGTTCTCGCTTTATTCGCTTATCGCACTCGGTAAGTGCTATCGCCTTTTGTTAGCTCTGTCGCTCGCACCTGTTTGACACTCCGCGTTCCCGCTTCTTTTTCGTATCCCCGACACGCGGACGTTCAACGACAATCGAACGTTACGTTTTCGGACACTACGTGCTCAAACATCATGTGCTGTGACATTACGCACTCGAACGCTGCGAACATTTCCCCCTCCTTTTGTGTTTTTGGCACCTGTAGGGAGGACACGGGTGGGAGCCCCCTAGCGTCCGATCGCATTGGTTCTCCCCCAGCAGCTGCATCAGGTTTCCCCGCCTGGTCTCGCAGAAGGCTGGCCGGCGACGGACAGTCCTCACGTAGATCGAAGGGTCACCTACGGTTCCCTTCTAAGAGAGGGGCTGTGTAGTGACCTGGAGATTCCCCTGTTTGGCTGCCGCTTGCTGCGTAAAATATTACAAAATCACAAAATTATATTTTCTCGATGTACATAGCAAAATAGCCGCTCGCCTGTTTGAACGTTGCTCGCGTTTATTTGAGTCAACGTAGCATCCGCCTTCGAACGGCGCGACGCTCATCGGCTCCGCGGCCATCTTTGCTCTCCGCGCACGCGACCACACATTTACCTAGCTAGCTATCTGCCGTTGCCTTATTGTTAGCACTAGATGGCGTTTAGCCCAATTAATAAATTTTTCCTAGCGTTACTTTTGGTGTTCTCCACTCATCGGAGGTTGGCCTTATTTTCGCGTATTGGTTTTAAAGCGTACCGATCCTGCTTCTCGCTTTAACTGGCTCCTAGAGGACAGTCGTAGGTAATATCACTTACGAAAGCGTGTGACTTCGCAAAAATGAGATCCAAGGTAGACGGAATTTGGTTGCGCATATATATAGTCGAGAGCTCCACGAACTGATGCAAAGGCAGTTGCAATGTTAGCTCAAGGAGATCCGAACCGAAAGTGCCCACCGCCGAACTGCAAGATAGATCAGCCCAGCAGACTTCAGGGAGGTTGAAGTCACCCAGTATTAGACACCTATTGGCAGCCTGAGTACGAATAAATTCAATAACCTCCCTGGAGATACTACCAGGACTTCGGTATACCACTACAACTGTAAACGGAGCGGAGGAAGTGCACACAGTAGCCGAGAGGGCTTCAACAGTTTGAGCAAGCGACTGGAACACACAAGTCCTCAACACATCGAGTTTACAACTCACATAAAGAGCATAAACTGGACAGATGTCCACTTCAGGTATTAATGCATTACTTGCAGCTAAATGCATTTAGTTTGACATTTGTTAATAAATTAATAGTTGATATGCATTATATTTGCTATTATTTGACCATAACCCCAGTGGTTTAAATGCATCTGCAGGTCTTTTTATTTGGCCAGTTTCGGTTTCGTAACCTTGGTCGCTGATACTGCTTCGTTCTGCGCTATTGTCTAGCTTCCTTGAAACTGCGTTTCCGCAGGTGTACCTATCAGGTTTTTCGGTTAAAAATTGTTTGATACGTAGGTGTTCCTTTTCAGCATGTCACGTCGACGAAGTTATCAATTAACTGCACAGTTTCCGTCTCGTAGCACCATTTACCGTGCAGCGAAAAGAATGACATCAGGATTCAGCTACGAAGAGGTGCTTCTGTTGTCAGAAGCTAAACGACAGAAGGGTAAGAGCATCTTTAACATATCTTAAATATGATTGCTTACACAGTTCAGCCACCTGCACACGTTATCAACCGCAGTGAAGATGACAGGGACCCCGATGAATTGGTACATAACTTGAGAAAATTGATCGCAAAATCTCAAGTACCAGCGTCTTTTGTTCGTCCACTGTTGTGCCTTGTGCAGCCGTGGATGCCATTTTTGCCAAAGGATTACCGGACGCTGATGCGCACCCCACGGACCTCCCGCATTCGCGTTGTTTCACCGGGAACTTACGGTCACGTAGGTCTGCTGAGAGGTTTACAGCGTGCATGCTCTGCTATTTCGCTCGCCGCTGATGACACTGTTGACTATCAGTTGCATATTGACGGGTTTAAACCTTTTAATGCATCCAAGATGCATGTATGGCCAATCTTGTGCCGTGTCATAAAGCCAGTGATCACGAAGCCATTCATTGTTGGTGTTTATGGTGGGACCTCGAAGCCGAATGACGTGGACGATTACTTGTACGACGCAATTAATGAGATACGTACTTTGCAACGCCAAGGATTATTCAAGCTTAAAGCCGTTATCTGTGATACCCCTGCACGCGCGTATGTGAAAAGAAAAAAGAACATTCGGGTTATTACAGCTGTGACAAATGCACCCAACGTGGTGAGTATATGAGCCGCAAGGTAACATACCCACTTACTGATAGCACACTACGGACTAATGCATCCGTTCGAAGGAATGATAGCCAACCGTCGCCTTTTGCTGCTTTGAATGTCGATTTGGTTGAGGACTTCCCAATTGACTATATGCATTCAGTATGTTTGGGTGTTATGCGCAGAATGATAAAAAACTGGCTCACTTCGCCCGTGGACAGTGGATTTCGACTGCGCAGAGAGCGATTGATTTTAGCAAACGAACGGTTGCATGAGTTCGGGCCTTCCTGGACATCGGACTTTCCACGTAAGCTTCGATCACTGGATGAATACCGATCTTGGAAGGCAACTGAGTTGCGTCAGTTTTTGCTATACGCCGGACCAGCTTGTTTAATTGGGGTATTGCCTGATGCTTTCTATCAAAACTTTCTAGATCTCTCATTTGCTATTTATATCATGTGCCACCCTCACCTTCACACTGCCTTATTTGATTTCCTTGTTCCTTTAATTCATGTATTTTTACATGATTACTTTGATCTTTATGGTCCCAGTGAGATGACGTGGAACGTACACTCACTGGTTCATCTGCCCGCTGACGTACGAAAGATGGGGACTCTAGACAGCTTCTCAGCATTTCCCTTCGAGTCTCACTTGTTTTCCATCAAGCGCATGATTCACAATTCCCCGCGTCCGGTTGCTCAAATCATGCGGCGTACGTCGGAAGAGGAACAGCTTCCTCCTACTTCCAGCAACGCAAGCACCGGTTGGGAATGTAGAGATGTGCACATATAAGGGTCAGAAGGCGTTTTGTTTGCACGGCATTTTGTTTTCCACTGTGAAGCCGGATAACGTGGTCATCATCGATGCCAAACCCAGAGTACTGACAGATGTGTCTGTGAATGTGTCCGGGAACATTGTCGTGCAATGCCGGGAATTTATGAATCTCCGTAGTCTGTTCACGCATAGCATGGATTCCTCAACGGCGTACATCTTCCGTGCATCGCAGTTGTCAACTGAGGTATGTACCTTCTCTGTCTGTCATATTCTATTTAAGTGCATTGCTTTACCCTTGAACGATTTTCTTGTAATTTACCCTATGCCACACAGTTATACACTTTAACTACTAACGTCTTTCTTTTTCAGCAATGATGGCTTTTCAAGGATACAGCGTTGTCAAACTCCTTGACTCCGAGGATTTAATAACTATTGTCAGTAACACTTGGCTTAGAGAAGAAGGTTCGTACGCTCAAATACCTTCAGTGCGGGGTACGCACTACTATGCAGCGGTGAAAAATCACACTGCGCCGGATGTCGATGTGGTCAGCACTGCCGTGTCCATAATCGTTAGCACGAGTAAGTATTTCTCTTATATTAACCCACCTCGTTAGTTAGCTTCCAGCATGCCCGAGAAATGGAACGGCAATCTGAGCGCGGGATGCTGCCATCGACAGACGATACAATTCCCATGGGCCTTCCAGCTAAGCGTGCAATGTGAGTATGGTGTTTTTTATTTCCCCTTAGACGCCGGCCCGTCCGTTCTAGCTCCGATGACGAGGATGCCGCGCGTCCAAGCAAACCCAAAAGGCCTTCTGCAGCAACATACGCACGTGCGCCCTCCTCTCTGTTCAGTGGCATTAGTCCATCACGTCCAGGGCCATCAACAAGCAACCGTAAGTATCGATTTCATACTGCCCCTATTAAACAGTAATCGCGCCACCGGTTATTGCTGACGTCCCACCAAGCAATCTGGATGTGCTGCAGGAACTGCAGGCCATAAAATGTAAGACGCCACAGATGTATTGCATTGCACTCAGCCTTATTTTTAGATGAGTTGTGTCTCATTCGATCAGAATTGGTCGGCCATCGCCGCATGTCCGAAGCGATGTTGCAAATGCTACAACGACAATCCCAAAGTGTTGCGCCGGGACTATCTCTGCCATTCATCTCTCTCAGTGAGCTAAAGAGGTATGATGAACGGCTGAAGGACCCCGATTTCAAAATCAGAGTCGTAAGTTCGTCTTATTATTCAACTACTTTAGGTCAACCATTTATGTGCTGTGCACGGTGATAACGTGCAACTCATCGTCCGGGGTACCATGGAGCGGCTAATGACAAGATCAGTTGCCGCGGAGATAAATTACTCCGGCGCTAGAGGTTCGTTTGCATTCAGGCGAACAAATATGAACGGCCTTGTACAAGGTAGGTTGAAATGCAGTAATCCATAAAAACTACCAAGGCATCATTCGGCAACGCATGGGTGATGCAGCCTCGGATGCTGACATTACACGGCACATCAAAACGTGGTTGCATTCTGCACGGCACAAAAGACCGCCGGTTGAGCAAACTAAAGTATGCAGTGCGAATGAGGTGAGTCCCCTGCTTCCTTAGGCACATCTTTAGCCTCCTACGTTGACACTCGCGGAAGCGGATTAAGAATATTGACTATGCCGCTTTCTGCTACTAACGTTCTTTGTACTGCACCCCTTCATGTATATATAGCATTCCTATACCTCGGTTTTAATTTTCTTTCGCCTTGTGATGTCAGGTGCGCGGTAAGAGCGGTTTCCTTTTCTGACCAACAGCTTTGAGTCGCCGCCTAGGTGGGTTCCCAAGTCCAGAAACTACCGCAACAGGTACCGGGTGAACACTAGGTCCGAGCCGTCCATATATTCGTTAGGCGCATAGTGCGTTCAAGTGTGGTGTCCGTATTCGGATACCCATGGGAGGCAATGACGGGATCTGGACCAGCCGGATTGTCACGCATAGTGGTGAATTTCTATTGGTCAACGCTAGCATCATCTTCATTGGTCCAACGTAAACTGGACAGGAACCCTTTTTAGCCGTCTCACGGTAATACTTCCTGTCCAGTTTAGCCTAATGCTCTCATAGGAACGTTTAGGATGCTAAACTGGACAGGACCTGGACATGTGCTACCAGAAAGTAGACACCTCAAACGAGGACCCCATAGGTCCATCCGTCTCGGTGTTCAACGAGACAGCCATGTTGATGTGGAAAACAGAGTAGAATTACAACACGTATACAATAGGAAAACGACCGCAATAAAAAGGCAAAAACAGGGTGCAAAACGGGATTAAAACTGGGAACAACCGGAAAAATTACCAGTAAGTGCCAAAGACGCTTTGGCAAGTACCACTTTAATCGATCTAAAATATCTTGGATCAGAGAAAATTTGACAATAGTCAAATTGCTTTTCAAGTGTTTATTCAAGCACTGTTTTCCACGTTATTTCAGCTGAAAAGCTCGGTCAGTATGGCACGCCAAAAAATCCAGTTACCGCGCTGTACTCACAGAGCATATGTCGTTGTACAGTGTTCATTGGTGGCGATGGATACGTTATTTTGAAAAGGTCATTGGCGATTTGCCTTTTTCCCTTCCGTTGGGCTAGCAGTTTTGTGGGGCAGTAAATTGTTATTTTTGGAATTTCGTCTAATGAGAAGATTATAACAAATGGCAACGGAGAACATTGGTAATGTGAGGAACATTTCTGCTGAACAATTTCAAAAGCTGCTTTTCCAACAACAAGCTCAAATGGAGGCACAAATGAAAACGATTAAAAATCTGACACGATGCTTGGGTTTGCAGACAACAGGAGCAGCGACGCGGGATACGCAGGTGAGTTCTGTTGATCTTCTCACGAACGCCATCACTCAATTCATTTATGATGCGGATTCGGGATGCACCTTTGAATTGTGGTTCATGCGTTTGGAAGACATGTTCCAGACGGACAGCATCCGTCAGGATGACTCCTGTAAGGTGCGATTGCTACTCCGCATGCTCGGAATAAGTGAACATTCAATGTTCCTTGACCACATTTTGCCCAAACAGCCGAAGGATCTGACGTTTGATGAAGTAGTGTAGCAACTGAAGGAGATTTTTGGTGAGTCAGTATCCTTGTTTAGTATTCTCTATCAATGTTTGAAAATTGTCAAACAGGAAGCTGACGACCTTGGGGCCTTAGCAGACATGATTAACCGTGAGTGTGAACGTTTCAACCTATGCTCTTTAACGGACGATCAGCTTGTGTCTCATTTTCGTTAGCGCTCTACAATCGCCCAGTGATGCTGAGATCCGAACGCGGCTTTTAGCCAAGCTGGAGCAGGATCCTGATTTGACACTGAAGGCCCTCGTAAGCGAATGCAAACGGCTGCTCACTCTAAAACACGACACTGCCATGGTCGAACGCAATGGTCGCGCACCAGCAGATACGGTGCAACTCGTAAAAAGGCCAGGACCGGCAACCGAAGCAAATACTCCCAGAAACCGATGGACAAACAGCCCACAGCATGCTGGTAATGCGGCGAATGGCAGTTGGCGCGCTTTTGTCCCTTCAAACATCATATTTGTCAAACGTGTCATAAGCGTGGGCATAATGAGGAATTCTGCAGTCGGGTCCGGTCGAAGAAAGTGAGGTCTTATCAAGAGGGTAATCCTAGAAAGGACGGCGCTGAGTCTGTCCACAGTTGACGCATTCCAAAGCGAATGTAAACCGAGACGACCATTCAGCACTGCGGTGAGCAATGGGATCCTAACGAAAATGCAAGTTGACACGACCTCGGACATCACGATTATTTCCAGGAGCACATGGAATCACACAAAGAGGCCGAAGATGGTCGAGTCTTAAAAACTTGCACACCATGCATCCAGCGGTGTGTTAAACTTAGTTGGCGAACTCAGTTGCAAGATTGCTTTCCAAGGTGTGGAAAAGTCGGGAACATGCTACATTTCGGACCGGCCGAATTGAATCTTCTTGGCCTCGATTGGATTGAAAAGTTGAATCCCCTCGATGTTCCCCTGAATCAGATCTGCAACCGAGTTCGAGCAAGTCCAGACCCATCATCAAAGTCCGTCGAAGACATGACACGTACCCTGAAGCGCAATTTTGCCTCTGTCTTTCAGGATGGCTTGGGTCATTGTACAAATTCAAAGCGACACTGAACTTGCGGCCAGGTGCTAAACCAGTGTTCAAGGCCAAAAGACCGGTACCAAATGCAGCCATGTCAACCGTTGAGCAAGAGCTCGATCGACTGGAACGTGCCGGAGTCATCACAGCCGTCAACTACTCATCATGTGCCCCACCTATTGTCGCAGTAAAGAAAGCAAATGGCAAGGTACGCGTCTGCGCTGACTTCCTAACTGGCCTCAGCGTCGCGCTGGAGGACCACCAGTACCCATTACCTGTACCGGAGGACATCTTTGCAAGGTTGAATGGTGGTAAGTACTTTGCTAAGCTTGATCTATCCGATGCCCATCTGCAAGTGGATGTTGACGGTGTCTCGAGGGAGCTGTTGACGATCAACACTCATCGTGGGCTATTCCAATACAACCGCTTGCCATTTGGTGGGAAAACGGCGCCAGCCATCTTCCAACAGTTGCTAGACACCATGCTAGCGGGCTTTTCTGGAACCGCTGCATATCTGGATGATATCATAGGAATGGGCAGAACACCGGAAGAACGGTGTAACCGACTGGATGAAGTGCTTGGTTGCATGCAGTAGTACGGTTTCCGGATCCGTGAGGATAAATGCACATTTTTCACGCCGCTCATCAAATACCTCGGTTTTAGCCTCCAAAAGGATGGACGTCGAGCAGACCCGAAAAACATAGAAGCCATTAGAAACATGCCTCCACCAACAGGTCTACAGTCTCTGCGTTACTTTTGTGGGATCATCAGCCGCTACAGCGCGTTCTTGCCTGAAATGCACCGCCCGCGTGCCCCGTTTAACAAGCTATTAGCCAAAGCCAAACATGGAACTGGACATCCGAATGCCGGAATGCCTTCGAACGCGTCAAGTCACTGCGGTCCTCAAACTTGCTATTGACTCATTTTGAGATTGAGAGATTGTCTTGGCAAGGAGATTGTCTTGGCAACAGATGCATCAAGCCATGGGATTGGCGCAGTAATATCACACACCTATGCCGATGGATCTCAGAAGGCAATCACCCATGCCGCCAGAACACTTAAGAAGGCCAAGAAGAATTACAGCCCGGTTGAAAAAGAAGCATTGGCAATATTGTACGCGGTCAAGAAATTCCACAAAACGCTATACGGCCGCCGCTTCGAGCTTCTGACCGATCACAAGCCCTCGCTGGCTATCTTGGTTCGAAAAAGGGCATTCCGCTCAACACAGCCAACCGGCAACAACCTTGGGCTCTTACCATAATGGGGTATGATTCTGAGATCCAATACCAGTCCACAGTTTCCATTGGCTAAGCGGACGCACTGTCACGCCTAATGGTTGCCCGCCAGCAAGAACATGAGGACACAAGCATTGCCTCGGTCGAGATCGAACCTGACGTCAACTATCTGGTAACTGATGTATTGCACAGCCTATCAGTTACCGCAGAAGCTGTACGAACCGAAACGCTTCGGGACCCAATACTCAAGAAGGTTACACAGTTCCACAAAACAAGTTGGCCATGTTCATGTCCATCTGCTGAGTTGCACCAGTACTTTCAGAGGCGACCCTCGCTCTCTATTGTAAACAACTGCATACTAGTTTCGGAGAGAGTGGCCAGCCCCAAGGCACTCCAGGAGCGTCTTATTCGGCAGTTCCACGCCGGGTATCCTGGAATCAAGCGGATGAAGACGCTTGCACGCAGTTGTGTATATTGGCCCTTCATGGACAAACAGCTAGAAGAAATAGCCAAACGTGCCAACGGTGCGCCAATGTCTTGAAAGCGCCACAAAAGTCAATACCCTATTCATAGCCAAAAGTTAACAAGCCATGGTGCCGTACCCATGTCGACTTTGCGGGACTGATCAACGACCGAAAATTCCTCATTATGGTCGATTCATACAGTAGGTGGCCTGAAGCATTTCTTATGGAGAACACAACCACCAATGCCACCATATCAACACTGCGCCAAACCTTTAGCCGATTCGGCTGTCCTGAGACAATTTTCACCGACACTGGCTCACAATTTACTTCGGCAACGTTTACGGAGTTTTGAAAGCAATGCACGTTT